GGGGGCAGCAGAGGGAGAAGGGGGCAGCAGAGGGAGAAGGGGGCAGCAGAGGGAGAAGGGGGCAGCAGAGGGAGAAGGGGGCAGCAGAGGGAGAAGGGGGCAGGGTCCTCACCTCCCATAGTGCATCACAGAGGAGTAGTCATAGGGCGTCAGCATGTTGCTGCTCCGAGACTTGATGAAGTTGATTTCAAAGCCTAAAAATACAAAAACAATACAACTTACTGACATATAAAGAGGGAGGGCAAGAAAGGGCGGAGGGCGGGCAATGGCTGGGAGGGTCTTCTGGGAGCTCATAACTTACCCAAGCTGAGGGACTGAGCCCGCAGCCACCATTCTCCCCAGCCCCAGGAGGAACCCCAACCTGTACTAGTTGAGTTGGAGGCACAGGGACCCCATGGCTAGCCAATCATCACCTCGTAGCAGTTCTCTCCACCCATCCTTCCTCCTTGCATATTCGCCCTGCACGGGGCTCGTCTCTGCATAACCCACAGCTGCCACGGGTCACACACTGCTCAGGGTCTAGATGCCCCTCCCACCCCAGATGCAATGTCTATTCCTTGACCCAGCTTTGAAAAACTGCCACGCTGACATCGGCACGTGGTGACCCCCAGTCCCCAGACACAGGCCCACCTTCTTCCTGCGTCAGGCCACAACACGTCCCCAGACTTGCAGCCCCTCTCCCCCTCGCTCAGGTCCCCCAGGCCTGGGAGGGGCAAGGTTCCCTCTGGCCTTCAGAGGCAGCCCCTCTATCTTTGCCCCCCCAATTCCCTCAAACCCAGCCAGCCGCCCGTACACCCCACCTCGGTACAGCAGCTTCCTCTCCACGGAGCAGACCAGCACCTTCATACCCCAGCACCTGCCTAACAGCTGCCCCTCGAGCTCTTTTTCTTGCTTTTAAAAACTCATTAAACATTTTAAATAAGTAGTATATTCATTTGGTTCAAAAGTCAACTATTGAGACGTAGTAAAAGTCTCCGATTCCATCCCCTGCTTCCCGCGTTCCCACTCCCCACCCCACAACAGTTAATTACTGCTATTAATGTGTCTGCCCTAGCAGAGTTTCTGTACATATTAACCTAATGAGAACATATTAACCTAAATGAAAACAAACAAGTTCTCATTTTTTCCACTGGGGAAGCGCTGTTTTAACCTGTTTTATCATCAGGAATAATTAGTCCTGTTTTCCAACTCAGTTTCTGCTTTTACCCTTTTTAAAATTTCCTCCTGCTTTCATTTAATTTGGGTTGACATGCTCAATTTGTTCTGTTTACTGATATGTAAGTCTACACATCTTCTCTGAGCATTGCATTAGCTGTGAACCACTGGGTTTTGTATAGTCTGTCATGATTTTTGTTTTAGAATTGCTGTACTTTAACTCCAGAGCTAAAAAAGTTTTGTTGTTTTCTTTCAATTTCTAAACAGGAGAAGCTTTTTGGTTTTGGTGTATTGGTTTCTACTTTATATCATGATCAGAATGTTTATATTAGTTTACTTTCAGAGTTGCAGGTTTTCATGGCATTTCATGGTATATCATGAAATTATCAGGGTAAACTTTCACAACTGTTCCACGAGCATCGGGAAGGATCAGTCTGTTTTCAGAATACAGAGTCACTTGTCACCCCTCCTCACTACCTCCTCAGCCTGGTCTGATTCAATATCCATGCCCTCCCTTTGTGAGGTGCTACCCACGTGCCCCAGACACCCCTTTCTCTGTGAGTCGTGTTTGCTGGGAGCCACTGAGAAAGCGGTGTTTGGGGCCGGGGAAGGTCCCTGGGCCCAGGCAGCTTCCCTGGCTGCCTCACCTGGCTAACATGACAGCAGTGAAAGGTCTTGTGCTGGACGCCCTCCACCTGCGGGAGGCCTTCTTCCCACTCCACCCTCTAAGCCAGATTCCCACCCACACCTCCTCTGCCCCTCCCTCGGTGGGGTCTTCCTGCCTCCTCAACGGAGAAACCCCACCATCACCAGGATCTGATCCCTGGCACCACACAGCTGCTGCTGCCAGCATAGGAACCACAGCCCACCTGCCTCCTGCCTCCATTCTCCCACGGCCACAGTCTGCGTTTCTTCTACCTGCTCACTGGCACATGTCCCAGTCCCACAGCGCTGCCCTCAGCCTGTGACCCAGCACTTGGCTTGTACAGCCTGCTACCTTGGGGCTCCGCTTTGGCTCAGCTTCCCAAGCTGGCACACAGCCCCAGCCCATGCTGGTGGTGCCTGGTGCATGAGACCGCTGCTGGAGTACTCAACAAGCAGGCATCATGGGTACAGCCTACCCCATCCCCAGGGAGAGGACAGTGTCAGCGATGAAAAGCGAGACAGAGCAGGTGGTGGCACCCTAACTCAGGCACAACTGCAGGTGGGCAGAGGAAGGCCTGGGGCCCAGAGCAGCAGCTGGACCACCTCCAGGTCCCAGAGAAGCGAGACCCCCACCTTCCCCACAGGAAGCAGACAGGTGGTGGGGAGGATGGACAGCCTCATCCGTGGGAACCAGGCAACTTGGGCCCAAGCCCTGCTGTCCCCTCCCCGGCACCAGCCCGACCTGCGTGTGGCCTGGCTTACCTGGGAGGATCTCGTTCCAGTTGACACGGATATAGCGGTCCCGGTCGGCCCGCGCGTGCTCGTGCCAGAAGCCCAGAACGTGCATGAGCTCGTGCAGGACGATGCCGCGGCCCTTCTGCAGACAAGTGGGTGCCAGGGAGACCACCTGCATCCCTCCGCTGCGCCCCACACTCGAGAAGCACCTGCAGGGCGATGAGAGCAAGCAGGGTGAGCGCCAGCCCAGATCCCCCCCAGACACACAGACCTGGGCTCTCCCTCCCCTCACACCACAAGACAGACAAACAGCTAACAGGCAGGCCCCACTCTGGGCGCTAGTCTCAGGTTCGCCATTCTCCAAGCCCCTTCACTGCCTGGACTTCTGTGAAATGGGCATACCGGACCCCCATCACCAGCCTGGGCCGCAGGGAGGCAGCAGGAACTGATATGAACGCAGAGGACAGAAGCAGCTCACTAAGTGAACGCACCCTCCCGGTCACCCCTGAGCCGAGGCTTTCACACACATTGCCTCAGGCCCCTGACAAGCTAGGAAGCAGGTGTCGCCACCACTCCCGCCCCAGAGGGTGCAGAAGAGGCTCAGAAGTCAGGGAACTTGCCAGGACTCAGTGACTCATGCACTGTCTGCCCCACAAAACCTCCCCTCAGCACCCCAGGGAGTCCCCCAGGAGAGGAGGGCTTTGTAAATGAGGGTCTAGCACCGTTCCCATCCCTTTTCCACCTTCCGCCCTGGAGGTCCAGCTTGCATTGGGCAGACCCCTCAGGGTGGGCAGGGGGACTGAGCCCTGGGGGATGGGCCCAGAAATAAATGTTAGACAACAGACAGGTTGATTCCGGGCTGAACGCCCAGCACTTACCCATACATGGGGATGATGGAAATGAAATCTCTCTGGCCCTGGTAGGCGACAAACCTGACACACGTGGAACGTTCAAACTCCGCGAGAGCCTCCAGTATGACCTGGCGGCTGAGCTCATCTGAAAGACACCACCCGGCTGAGCCCCCCGAGCCCTGGTGCTCTTTGAGCTCTGCATGGGGGTCTGGGAGCAGAGCTCTGAACTCTCTCCCAAAATAGCATCAAGAAAGGGCAGCCTAGTGGTGCGTCTCTAATGGTCCCCCATTCCCATGCACACAGGTCCTGACTCCCACATCTTTGCGGTTCTGGTGCCCGAGGGTGTGGTACCCTTGGGGCACAAAGCTGCCCCAAGACAGACCCTGGCTGTGTGGCCTTGGGTAGGTCACTGTCCTCCACACCGCATGGTCTCAAGGGGAACCAGATCCCACTAGACACACCTTCCCATCAGTTCTCCCAGGATTTTAACCCTCCCGACTCGGGAGACCTTCAGGAACAGAAGGGCTTCTGTGGATGGGTTCTCGGGGTGGGGAGGTAGAGGGGAGGTGGTGGTGTAAGAGGAGAAAGGAAGAGAGGAGCACCTCTGCCACATTTGGAAGAAGGGGCTGAGGAAGGGAGGGAGCCTGCCGCGCTCACTCACCGTACTTGCTGGAGAGCAGGAAGGGGACCTCCACGACTCCACCACCACCCGTGGGCCACTTGCTGCTGGTTGCTGACAGCAGTCGGAAGGGACTCTGAGGAGAGAGCAGCAGTTCAACCGCTGGGGACAGAGGCCACCCAAGCTTTGTGCCCCAAGGGTACCACACCCCGGGGCACCAGAACCCCAAAGATGTGGGAGTCAGGACCTGCACGCATGGGAATGGGGGACCACTAGGGACGGGACAGAGGCGTGGAAGGCAAGGGGCCAGCTACATGAACCTTGATGCACAAGACCGTCCTTTGGCCTGTGACGAAAGAATTTCAGTCTCAAGCAAACAAGAGGTTAGTCCCTGAGGATGTTGGCTAGGAGGCCCAGCACCCCAGGGTGCCCTGGATCAGAAGGGCTTGGGCCGGCAGCCCCACCCCAGCATGTAGGCAGTGCCCCTTCCAGAGGGGAACAGCCACCAGGCTTCCCTGAATGTGGGATGGTCATGGGGACACAACCTATTTGGAGTGAAAGCGAGGCAGCACCCTGGCCTCGGCCGCTCTTCCGCTCTCCAGCAACCAGAGCCCTTCAGAGCCCAGGCCCCAGCGCTTGCGCCATCAGCTGGAGGCATTTGATTCTGCTCCTGGTGGTCACATGCCACCTCCCTGAGCACTCACTGGATAACCCAGAGGGGTCTGCCCTGCCCCCGGGGTCCCCTGGGAGCCTTGGGCCAGCCTCTGGCTCCCCTGCCCAGCCAGAGGCTGTGCCATCCGTGGGGGCCTCCAACGAGACAGTCTTGCCTTCCCCTGGGTCACTGTCCTATTCAGGAGCCTTCTGCCATTCCCAGTCGCCTAAAACACAGCGCTGCTGTCCTGGGCACAGTGTTCCCTTTTCTGCTAGCAGGGCACCCCCAATCCCCAGCAGCCCCCTCCCTTCAGATGCAGCCACTCGACCACAGCCAAGATGGTCAGGCTCCACATCACTCCTTGTTCCACCATCCCCAGGTCGCCACTGCCACCAGGCCCTTTATCCCCCACAGGCCACTCTGCCAACCCCTGCTCATCTATTCTTTTATCTGAGCACCTTCCCTGGGCAGGATACCAAGCTGCGTCAAGTGTTCAAAACCTTCTCCTTCAGGAAGCCCTCTCAGGCCGACTGTGCCAGCACTTCAGATAGCAGCCTCCCTTAGCATTCAGGCTGGCTTATTCGTACTTCCTAACAGAAGAGTCGCTCTGACCTTGACAAACAGAGGCAGCTACCACTCTGTGTATGTCCCTCCCACATCAGGCCCCACGTCACCCAGGGTGGGCTCCGAGGGCCTGTCACCAGCTGTGGGCTGATCCGCACCCACACACGTCAGAGTGTGCACTCACCGGCCGGACGATGTCCCCCTCGATGAGGAAGCTGCTTTCTGGGGTTTCTTCCGGGATGAGCCCTGGGAAGGGAGGGAAGGACGTGTTGGCCCATGTCCCCCAGCACACTGACTCGAGGGACAGGCCAAGCAAGTCCCTCCTTAAGTCTATTCTTGTGTCTTTCCTAGTGGATTGTTACTATTATAACTTCTTAAATGGTCTGATAAAAGTATAGGTCACTGGCTCTCCGAGCCTGGGTGTTTAGCTAAGTCATTAGTTGATGTTTGAGAATGTCAGCCACCCTGGCAGGACTGTCTGCAGGCGTGAGGAGCTGGGGGGCAAAGACGAAGGAGTCTGAGGCTCAGGGTCTGTCCCTCCCCTGACTGTGGAGTTACAGGTTCCTTGAGCACTGAGGGAAAGTCACACAGTCCCTGAGTGTGCGAGGCTTCTCGGCTGGACCGCATCCTTCCCCTGCTCAAACACAGCCCACGACCTATCCGGTCCCAAGCCCAGGTCCCTGCGGTCAGGAAGCAGCGGCCTCTTCCAGCCTGAGCCGCACTCCTCAGAACAGGCCCTGGGCTCTCCCGCCCACCTCATCCCCCATCTATTCCTCACCCATCTGTTATACTCAGGCCCCTTGAGGTGGCAAATTCAAATTTGTTCCACCGTCAAAGGTAGGCAAGTACCAGCTCTCGCAAACCCCTCACCCCTCTTAGCCCCTCTGCTTCGCGTCTCGCCCACAAGTGACTCATGGAGGGAGTGAGGAAAGCAGGAGAGAAGGCAGGGAAGAATCCAGGCGCAGCCTCAGTTGGATCCCACGGGCGCTCCGGACCACAAATGGCACCTCTGACTTGCACAGCCTTGAGGCAGGGGCCGGACTCCTGTCCCTTAGGAGTCACGGTGGGCCACCTCGGGCAGGCGAGGGAGTAGCCCCCCGGCACCTCTGGCTGAGGCAATTCCTTTTGGCTGGGGGCCAGTCTTGGGAGGCAGATACAGCTGTACGGCATTAGCCATATTCACAGCGGCAGGTGCTTCTCAGGAAAGCATCAGGTGAGGCACGGACAGCCGTTCTGAGATAGCCTCACTGTAGGTGATAGGATAGTTGGGGTCACCAGCATTTGGGAGTTTTCTCCATTGGTTCCAGTTACATCCAGACCACTCACGGTGATCCAGGGGTGGGGCGGTGCCTGGGGCTCAAGGCTCAGTTGGTGCTGGGCCCCTAAGTCAGCTCTCAGAGGAAGAAGGGGGCAGATCACACAGTGGCTACCACATCTAGTAGGATCTCACCCACCCTTAGGGCAACACTGGCCCCTGCTCCCTGGTGCTTCAGCCCTCATTGCTCCAACATCTGAACTCCAATCTCCATCTCGACTGGCTTTGTTCAGGCTATTTATACACCCTCATTCCTCAGGTGACACCCCCAGACAGCAAGACCCTGAGCCTCAGACTTCCTAATCACACTTGCAGACAGTCCTGCACAGGGTGGCTGACGTTCTCAAACATCAACTCATCGCTTAGCTCCACACCCAGGCTCACAACGATCTATACTTTTATCAGGCCATTTAAGAACTTAGTGTTTCTTATAAAAGTAGCAATCCACTAGGAAAGATACAAAAAGAAAAAGTAGACTTAAGCAATTGCCCATAGAATTTCCACCCGTTCACACCTGTAGTCCCAGCTGCTCGGGAGGCAGAGGCAGGAGGATCACTTAAGACCAGGAGTTCAAGACCAGCCTGGGCAACACAGCAATACTACTCTATCTCTAAAAAACCACGGCCGGGTGCGGTGGCTCACGCCTATAATTCCAGCACTTTGGGAGGCTGAGGCGGGCAGATCACGAGGTCAGGAGATCGAGACTATCCTGGCTAACATGGTGAAACCCCATCTCCACTTAAAAAAAATAAAAATACAAAAATTTAACCAGGCATGGTGGTGGGTGCCTGTAGTCCCAGCTACTCGGGAGGCTGAGGCAGGAGAATGGCGTGAACCGAGATTGTACCACTGCACTCCAGCTTGGGCGACAGAGTGAGACTGTCCAAAAAACAACAACAACAACAAAAAACACAGCCTAGAGTAAGCTGGTCCATTTCCTCCCAGGCTCTGCATTTCTGAGTGTTCAGTGTGGTTTTCCCACTACATAATGTCATGCGCCTCCAGGCCCTGGGAAGATGCCCTCACCTTGGTTAATTGCAGGAATGTCCTTGTCCCAGGAGGCCTGGGTTCCCTCAGGGGTGAGGCCATCTGGGAAGCTGGTACCACAGGCTCCTGGGCAGCTGGAGGCCAGGGGCGCTCCTAGGATACCTGGTCCAGACAGACAGGGGCATACACAAATGCTTGGAGCACCCACCAGTGAGACTGGACAGCAGGACATGGGGTGAGTGCGGGGGATCAGGCTGTAAGACTCAGTCCCTAGGAAGAGTAGGCTCCAGCACAAAGTCAAAGAGCCTTTCCAGCCTCCCTGCTCAACCCCAACTAGCGCCAAGGTCTAGATGACCTCGGGAAGGAGCTCCCCTAGGGGGACCAAAAGGGCACGTGCCCCACCTATGAGGTAGAGGAGGAACAGGAAGGAAGGAGGCAGGACAGACCTCAGGTTCTGACGCCCGTGGCAAGGGCAGGGCCAGCCTCAGATCTTTCTCTATGACTCTTTCTCAGTCCAGGCTCTTGGACAATGGGCTCAGCCTGGAGTGGGGACTTACAGCCTACCCCCACCCCAAGATAAGTACGCCTGGGGCACAACGCCTGCCATCTTCTGCCAGGCAGGCCCTCTGCTTCCAGGGCCTTCAGGAGGCCTCCCCTTGGCCCCCAAGAGCTGACTTCTAGAACAACCCTGGAAAGCTCTGTGCTCTGAGCCACTGAGCTCAGCTACAATCCCTGCAGGTTCCAGCCACAACCTTCTGGCCTCTCCCCAGCTTTCTCCAGGCTGGCACCAGCAGCAGGAGGGACAGACAGCCAGCTTACCTAGCAAGGAGAGCAGACCCAGCACCCAAGGCCAGAGACCCCCTACACCCTCCATGGTAGAGTCCTGCTGCCCCTTCAGCAAACAAGACTAAGCCCCAGCAGAACGGAGTATCCTAACTACAGAACCAGCACTACCACCACCACCTCTTAAATAGCAGCTGCTCCAGCTCCCACCTTACTCCCACCAACCACCTCCGCCTACAGCCCCACCCCAACCACCTCTACCTGCAGCCCCCGCCCCAACCAGCTCCACCTACAGCCCCGCCCCAACCAGGTCTGCTGGCAGCCCCTCCCGTGCCTACCTGTGGTTCCCACCCCAGCCCAGTCCCCTTCCCGGCTGCAGTGTGTGAAAGACAGGCGGGACCCGCTTGGAGTGTGGCTCTGCTGAGGTGCCTTCCCGCCACCAGGGGGCAGAGAGACATCGCAGAAAATTGCTCCAGGCCCAGCGGAGGCCCCAGCCCCGGTGTAGACCTGTCCTCCAGCGAGGGAGACCCCCTTTCCTGCCCCGGCCTGTACTGAGACACGAGGAAAGCTGCCTGAGACCCTGGGGGCACCCCCTGTGTATCTCTGGAAGGAGGTAAAGGTCACTGCACTTTCACAAGCTTTTATTTTAGTACATATGGGAAAGTTCACTATCACAAGCACAGGGCTCCAGGAAATCTCACAAACTGAACAGTGTGCAACCAGCACCCCAGAAAGCCTGCCATGTGGGAAAGGTGAAACCCCCAGATGCCCAGAGCCTCGCAGGGAGTCCACCCCCCTAATCCCACAGCCGCTGGCATGATCAGTCAGTGTCTATTCCCATTTCACAGATTTGGAAATTTAAACTCCTTACCTATATCCCCCCTCCTCCATACACCTGAGCCCCAGAGCCAGGTAACTCAGGGCCCCACCTGGACTGAAATTCCCGAGGCGGGGCTTGTCAGCACTGGACAGCATTTGGGGACACGCCCACAGTCACCTGCAGCCAGCGAAGGGAAGCGACAGAGCCAAGAAGACGAGCTATTGTCCACAAGCACCTTTCAGCATTCCTGTTCTGCCTGGAATCCAGAGCTTCTCCAAAGTCAGGAATCAGAATCACAGGGAGACCGTGATGGAAGCAGATGCCCTGCTGCCAGGGCAAGGTATTGACAGATGTCAGGATACACACCATGGATATGCTACTTAGCTTGTTGTGGTCATCATTTCACAAGGTATGCGTGTGTCAAAATATCACGTTGTACACTTAAACATTTACTACTTTTATTTGCCAATTATGCCTCAGTAAAGCTAGAAAAAATAAGTAAAATAAAGAATAGGACTATCAAAAAACAAATGCATGAGGCTGACCACTTAAGTTGAGTGTTCAGGCAGGCGCAGTGGCTCATGCCTATAATCCCAGCACTTTGGGAGGCCAAGGCAGGTATCACGAGGTCAGGAATTCAAGACCAGTCTGGTCAACATGGTGAAACCCCATTTCTGCTAAAAAAAAAAAATACAAAAATGGTCGGGCGCGGTGGCTTACGCCTGTAATCCCAGCACTTTGGGAGGCCGAG